TCAAAAAAGAATGAAAAAACAGGCTGCAGTATAGCATAATCCTGATCAGTTAGGATAGACAGGCCAGGTAAACAAGAGCCCTGGACTGTTTCTGAAGTGCTGGGATTACAGGCTGGTGCCACCCTGGGGTTTTGCCAGCTCTCAAAGCTGCTGGCCTAAGTGCTAACCTTCCTTTTCACTTTGAGTTTCGTTTCCGTTGAAAGGGGATGGTTGACCACAGGGAACCTCCCAGCCAACTAAACTTAGCATACATGGGCTTACATGGGCTGGAGAAAACTCCAGGACCTGCCTGTCTTTAAACGCTTTGATTTTCTCTGCCTTCAGAGTTTGAATTGAGATAATCCCGCCCAGAGATGCTATCTTACTTTAACTGTTTATGAATTCATTGTGCAATGGCCTTCTCTGGGCTGGCATCTGGAACCTTCAGGAGAGCTTGAGGGAAGAACAGGACACCTTGCTACTTGTCAGTTTTTTCTTTGACACAGGTCTCATGTAACCCATGCTGCCCTTGGATTCACTATGTTAAGACGAGGAATGGTTCAAATTGCTTAAGCACCTAGTACGGGCTGGACACTTTACAGAGACCCTGCCCTGAATCCTCGTGGAGGAGGAGGGAAGGAGGAACGGGGGAGCTTCTGATTTACAGATAGAGAATCAGAGGCAACTTGTCAGAATGAAGTAAAAGAAAGGAAGAGGCCAGATCTCGAGGATCCTGTTGAGCCATGGCTATGGCCTTTACCAAGACCATATGCTTTAGCCAGAAAAACCCTATCTCACCCCTTCCAAACCCACCTTGACCTTCTGTGTGAGTTTCACTTTTACTTTACATATTCTGTGTGTGTGTGTACACAAGTGTGGAGGTCAGCCCAATGTGTCACCATGACTGGTTCCTCTCATTGAGGGTTCTGAGGCATCCTGCTTGAGCTCACTTATTTCATGTGGAGCCTGCTCTGTGCTCTGGGACTTCAAGAAGTAGCTATCTGGTCTTAGCAGGCACTCTGCATACCTCTGCTGCTCTTATGGGTCCCGGGCTCTGAGCTAGCTGCACAGACACAGCAGAAAATGAAACAAAATCCCTGTTCTTGTGGAGCTCTGATCTGGGAAACCAAAAGGAATACATAAACGAAAGCATGGTTTCAGAGATGATGGGAAAGCCAGGGCTCAGAAGAACATACATGACAGTGCAGAATGAGAAGCAGGGTTAGTGGTCAAGGGCCTGCAGTGGTGACAGGCCACTTTTGATTTGAGCCCTTGCTGCGCAACTTGGATGACTTGCTTCTCTCTTTGCGGAAACTTCCCAGTTCTCATGTGGGCAAAAAGAAAAAAAAAAAAAAAACCCA